GGCGAAAATTTGACCTGCTGCTGCTGCTGTTGCCGAAATGCATCATTAGCAAACGCCCAAACTGCACCAGCAGCTATTAAAGGAAGAAAATTCGCCACAAAGCGAAACGGTGGAAAGTAGGTAGGTAGCAATTTATGTCCCTACCGGTTCGGACCTCCACTCCACTGACTACTACAAGAACAACACGACGACGGTGGCAGCTGCCACCCATTTCTTTCGGTTGTTTGTTTGTTTGCTCGTTCGCTCAAAGCTGCCACACCAACCGGAAGCCAGCTGACTTGCCACAGTTCATTAATTTTGACCCCAACTCCCACCAGCACCACCCTCATTCGCTCAGTTCGCGGTGGTGCTTGGTGCTCGAAGAAAAGGGTGAAAGTCCTTGGCTTTTCCTCTCCCGGAAGAAAGTTCAACCTGCTGTCGGCAGATGCTTCCGAGGAATACGTTAGGTCGTCAATCTATAATAGGATCCGCGGAGGAGATTATCTGCCATTGATGAGCAGCAAGCCTCAAGTCGTAATTGGAAAAGTTTGCATATTTCCTAGCAAATTGAGTTGCACATAGGTATTGGTAGGTGTAGGTATTTTTGCGAGTGACAGAGAGAGAGAGAGAGAGAGAGACAGCCAGAAAAAGGTCAAAGGCGTTGAACTGTTCAGGCACGACCTGATACCGTTAGGCTGCGCAGAAGGAGGACGAAGCTAGCGAACCGTAGCGATGAGGGCACGCGCGATCGTTCCAAACTGCAAAATGCAGTTATTCTTTTTTTTTTTGGTGCAAGAATGACGGAGCGTGTGTATAGGGATCCTCCTATGTTGCATCCTGTTTCGATGGGTGTTAAGTTGATGAGCTGCTGCATTTCCAAGAAGAGAAATTCGCACCGTGTGCTTGCCGGGTTCAGGTAGGTAGAATAATATAGAACAGCAGAAGGAAAAAAGGTCGCGTCACGTGCCCCCCGTCTAACGGGACTTTTGGCGTGTGCCCTATGTTGCCGCGTTGTCCCGTTCCACGTTGACGAGCGAGTAAAAAAAAAAAAAAAAGGACGTGTGTCTGCAGAGTGTGTACCATCATCGAAGAAGGTTGCTCATTCCGATGTACGATGATACTGATAGGGGGAAATGCAATTTGTGAGAGGGATAAAGGTGAAGAATGCAATTTGTTGCTTTGTCTACAAACTACTCCATTGTTGTTGTTTGTTGTTTTTGTTGCAAACGAACCGTGAAGTGACGGAATAACGGGGTTAATCACAGGTGACCTGATCGCTGTTTTTTGGATCTAAGGATTATTCAGTCCATGTTTTGGAGCATACACAGGACCAATCGGCTGATGCATTCAAATAGTTTAACTTAGAGGAAGGGAAAGTCACTAACTAAGAGAGAAGCATGCTTGAGAGTTTGAAGAATTGACAACAGTTCAGAATGGGAAAATCCCCGGAACCCTAATTTCTATAACTACAGTACAAATAAATCTTGGGATGTGATGAAACTGGATCAATTTGATTGAACTGTTCGGATTTGGACTAAGGATGACTAGAATTTACCCTAAATTTGGGAAATAGCATTGCCGAGTGTGTTTGTTTTGATTTTGATACAGTACAGGTACAGTAATAAATTTCACAGATTTTGAAAGTTCTGGCTCACCTAAAATTTTGAACTTTGGGTTTGAGAATATTCAGCAATGATTACTCCAGTAGACACCCATTTCCTATCTACGGATAGTACTTCATTAAAATCTGGCAACACTGAGTGCATTTGTAAATTTTTCAAATTCGTTCAAAAGCGTCTAAAGTTTTGCTTAATTTAAGCTGCCGCCACGATTTCTTTTTTAGCAAGCTGCAGCAGTAAATGCAAAATAATGTTGCTGCAATATGAAATGAAAGAAGACAGTGGTTTTTTTCAGGTATAAAAATAGACATTTTCAAGAGATTTTGGATTTGCAGGACAACAACAAAATCTGCTGTTCTTGCGAGCAAACTTTCCGGCATTGCGATCGATAAATCTGCTGTTTAAACAAAGAGGAGCTGTCTGTCAGTAGCTACAGTGTCACCTATCGTTTTTTTTCGCTGTGGAGGCTCAGCCGAATGAGCCAGTCTCACCTCCACCGATAATCGTCAAATTGAATGACGCCCATAGTACACTGCGATGTCTACCTGAAGAATTCTTAACACAAGATCGCTCATTCGGCAGCTTGTACCAGAGAAAAAAAAGGAGAGCAAACCCGCTAGGCACAGTCCTACACGTTTGTTTTTTTATTTGATTTTATAGAGATTTTTGGCCGTAGGCTAGTTCATCTCTTACAGTCCTACATGACCGTTAATCTATCTCACTCAAAGAAAGAGAGTAACTTCTCTCAGATGAAAGATTTTTTTTAAACGTAAGTTACTCAGCGCTGAGTAACTTACGTACTTAGACATTCCCAACGAACAATTTGGGTTGATTAACAGCTGAATAAGCCATTTTTTAGCTGAAGAGGCTTATTTTTGCCTGAATAAGCTCTTATTTAACATTCAATGTTTGTTGGGTTTCTCTTTCATCTGCGTAGAAGTCACTATCTCTCTCTCTCTAAGTGAGATTGAACGGCCGTGTAAGTAGTCGTTGAAGGATTATTCTGCTCGCTGTTCGACCTGGGAGTATCAGGACACTCTAGAGCCAACCCCAGTCAACCGCCAGGATGAAGCGTAAGAAATCGACGATCCAAGTCATTGATTATGTTTTGAGTTAGGCCTTTCTGACTTGATTACCCTGTATTGTATTTACTATTAACAATCTCGTCCAAGCCGCCCACTCAACGAGTAAAGAAAAATATACAAACAAGTCAATGCTGGGTGTATGAAGAAGCATCAGGAAGTTAGACAATCAATTTATGTTCATTGGATCATATCGATCGTGTTTCCAGAGAGGCTATGGAAAATAGACCTGTGAGTCGGAAAAATTATCTCGAAGGATCACCGTTTCCATGTTGAGTTCCTGCAAGCGCTCACTCAGTTTCCAACGAAGAATTAAAGTATCATCACCGACAAACCGACGTGACAGCTCATACAAGCAACATTCAAATGCTTGCCCAAGACGCCATATTCAAAATACGTTAAACACTACCGCCATCTACTAATCCGATCGCGTTATATCATGAGCAAGGACACGAACTCACGTAGAATTTATATTGCCATGGTTTGCATCTCACCTCGTTTGACATATCTGATCGCCCGTTTGAAAGTTCGAATCGCTCGTTAGACAAATCGTTCGTCGGTGGTATCATCATCAATCCTCAACTATAAATTAATGCAATCATTATCTGACAGATGCCTCGAGCATACATCTTTTGTTTATTCTGCGGGCAAAGATCTGAATTCCCCGTCTCTATTAAGTCGCATCCATGATGGATTTAAAACAACTTATTTTTCTAAAATATTTCTTTTCCCCAAGCCGAATCCAAACAGTTCAATCACTTGTTTACGTAATGCCCTTTGATAATAGTATGGCCACTCGGCAAATGACAACGACTCAAATTTGAGTTTAGTTCACTCATAATCGCCAAAAGTTCAGGAACTCAGCGATGAGTAAATTTGCCTCGAGGTTTCCTGTGGAAATCCAGTATAGGAGTAGTACCAATAGACTGAGAGAGTCCAATCTTTACTTTTCTCATACTCGGGTATTTTTTCCTGGAAAAACCTGAAAAACTTGGAAAAACATGAAGTAAATTCACTCATCGCTGAGCTCCTACGCTTTATGTGATGTATGAGTTAACTTAACTGAAATTTGGGTCGTTCTTATTCACCGTGCAGTTGCTTCGAACGAACTGTCAAAATCCGTTACAATCGAAAAAAAAGTACTATTTACCCAAAATATTACCGTGCAAACAATACAATCGAGTTGTATATTTTGAAACTAACTGCTTTGGCAGCTTCATATCAGAAGACTTAATACCATTTCTTTTTGCATTGAGTGCTGCCAAAATGGTCGATTTCTACACGTCCAAACTTTTACTAAAGGGCACTATTTATTCTTTCCAGTTTCATCATATCAGTGCCAACATTTCAAAGGGGCGTAATTGCATTTGTAAACAATGGCGTTAGCCGTCGATTTCTCGCGAATAAAAGCTCACTCATGAAAAATAATGACACCAACAGGTAGAGGAATGTATCCTCTACCAGTTATCATTGTTATTTTGCAGGGGTGAACTTTTAGTTGCGAGAAATTGACGGCTAAAGTCATTGTTTACATAAGCAATTACGCCCATTTGAAATGTTGGCACTGATATATAGAATACAATTGATCCGGTATCCAGTAAATGGTAAAAAATGCTGTTTGACAGCAACAAAAACTAAACTAAAAATTAATAAAACTCAAAGAGAACCGAATTCCAAAGTCAGATTAGTTGTATGGATTTTGATTACTCTACCAAACGGTAAATAACCATTTCCTTTCCTAAAATTTCGCATCCTGCAATCATTTTTTTTTTGTATCAAACCACGAAACACCAATCACCTCTAATCAGAAGACTCTGTTACAAAGATTAAGTTCAACGCAATTCTACTGTTTTTTTTATGTTCTACACCACCCTTTCCCTAATGAAGCCCTTAGAAAACTACTTGCACAACACGGGGAGGAGGCCGGGGGCCTCGCTTTCCTCTGTTGATGTACGGAAGATTGCGTTTGCGTTAGGTCATTATTGTTGTTTAGAGGCAAAACCATATCCTTACATTCCCCTTTTATATTGAGATGAGAGACCAAAGATTAGGACTAATCTACGATTGTTCGACATTACTCTAAATACAGTGCGGATAGGCCGAAACGGATAGTGATAGATGAGATTTGTTTGTGGGAGTCTTCATTTTTTTTTGTGGGAAGTTAGGACAGTAGTTGGTTGATGGAATTTGGGACAGAGAACATAGGTTTGTTGTATATAACTGAACAAAGGTGAGAGGGGGTGGGAGAGTTGAGTTTAGGGGGGGGGGGGAGATTTCAAGCTTCAAGAAAACGCAAAGTTCTGTATACGAGCGGACTTACCTCCTGCACTGCATTGCAGGCAGAATCCCGTGAGGTGAAGGTGACGAACGCATAGCCCCGATTCGTGCCGGTCATCGGGTCCATCATCAGGCGGAGATCCCATATTTTGCCGCACTTTTCGAACAGCGGTATCAGCTCATCCTCGTACATGTCTTTGGGTATTTTGCCACAAAACACCTCGCACCCATTGCCCGGGGTGCCGCCCTCCCAGTTCGGAGGGGGACCGCCGTACTTTCGTTGTCCTGTTGGGCGAAAAGATGACGGGTAAAATGGATTAGTCTTCGGGTCGGAAACCTTGATGGAGTAGGATAGGTACCTGTCGTCACATCGAGTGTGTATCCTGTGCGTTCCAGAATGGCTTTGATCTTGTCCTCGTCTGGACCTTTCGCTTGTACTGTTATTGCAGGTGTGGGTAGTCCCTGTTGGCTGGCTCTGCTTTTCTGGCTATAATTTGCGAGGATGATAACAATAGCAGTAAAATAAAATTTAGGTAGGTACATTGTTTCAACGAACGGATAGGCGAGTGCAACACTTACCGGTACGTTTTCATCACCCCGCACAGGTAGGCCGATTTGTTGGACACATGCTCCAGGTTGGATTCTAGGAACTGGCTCAGTACGTTCAAGGCACCATCGACGGGGAACTCCTTCAGCGCGTCCAGGGCCCGCTCGTCCAGTTCGGTGTGAGCGAGCTTGCCGGTTTTGTAGATCTCATCGAGCTTGCCAGCGACCTGCAGGGAGGAAAGGAAAAGGGGATTGTTAGCGCGTTGCAAGCTTATTTTGAAATCCATCAAAATGAACCCAGATGGATAAGTTGACGTTGGCATCGATGTTGCTATAGCAGAATAAAAGATAAGATATAGAATACACCTTTCCGTCGAAGAACGCGTCACCCACTGAGTTCTACCCGCCGCTTTTTCTCGGTGGGGTTTCAACCAGTCGGTTTGATTTTTTTGGATGTGAGTAGCAGGCTTGGAAATGTTCATTACAGCTAAAATGCTACTTTTCGAAATTATGAAACTATGAGATAAAATAATAATATTTTTATATGTAATGCCTTGTTCAGACTGGAGAGTTATAACATGTTAAAACGGTTGTCAAATAATTACAACACAGAGACCACCATCAAGATAGCGCTATAACATGTTATAACTCTGTAGTCGGAACGTACTATAATAGTACGTTCAGACTACAGAGTTATAACATGTTATAGCGCTATCTTGATGATGGTCTCTGTGTTGCAATTATTTGACAACCGTTATAACATTTTATAAGTCTCCAGTCTGAACAAGGCATAAGATCACAGAACAGAAGGGGAAGTGCAAACAAATCGGTGAATCAAAAAGTGCTCGTTTTTCTGCTCAACGAGCGATGTAATGTGGTAGCGTTCCACATGGGCTTTCTATGTGCACTCACACTATCATAGCATGCTGCCTATCTTAACTGCAGGCCGAAGATGCCTTCTACCGCTAGGTGCGCTAGTGTTCGCAAATGACCAGTGGAGCCACTTTCTGATTCGAAGTTCCACTCCTGTGATAAGATGCAAGAGGAGGTGAAGTTTGAGTATTGCCTTGTCAGACTACAGAGTTATAACACGTTATAGCGCTATCTTGATGGTGGTTTCTGTGTTGCAGTTATTTGACAACCGTTATAACATGTTATAACTCTCCAGTCTGGACAGCGTTTATGAAACAATAACCTGTAAATTTTGCTTTCAGAGGGTCACAATTAGCTATTTTAGCTATAATAAGTAATCGTGATGAGTAAGTGCTCTTCGTTGTAGCTAATCGCTAATTGTGACACTCTGTGTCATACTCAAACTTCACTTCCCCTTCTTGCATTTTACATATAAAATATATTATTATACTGTCTAATAGTTTCATAATTTCGAAAAATAGCATTTTAGCTGTAATGAGCATTTCGCATGCATAAGGGCGTAGACGCGATGATCGATTTTCTCTTTTGTTAATAACTCGCTAGAATTAACGTTTATCGGTGCGTTTGCTGTCGTTTTCGATAGCCAATACAACCTGTTGCAACTCTGCATTGAACAAATTCTAGAAAATTGTTTCGTTGTTTTGTTTGCATTGCTGCAGCTAAATTAGCTGTGGCAATGCAAAGAGAAAATGGATGAAGAGAATCAATCATCGCGTATACGCCCTTATGCATGCTCACTGTCGATTGTTAAGCTTGGTGAGTAGTGTCAATTATAGATACTATAAATTCCATAGATAAGTGGAGGCACAAAAAATTGTTTTGGCAACCATGAAAAATAAATCGTCTTACTGGCATCCGTGAAAAAGTTCTTCGTTGTGCAGTTTTGTTTTGTTTCGTGCGTAAAAGTTCAAAATGAAGTGCAAAGCAAATCTTTGCAACAATGTATCGAGGAATGGTTGGCTTCATCTCTCCTTCTTCCGTTGTCCGCGAAATAAATCGGAATGTGGGGTGTGGAAAGCGTTTTGTGCTCCTAATATTACAATACTTCTCCCTCAAACAGCACCATGATGACGTCATGCTCATTTGGCTACACTAACTGACAGTTCGTTTGCCTACATTATACTTTTCCTCCGCTTATCTATGGAATCTATAGTATCTATAGTGTCAATAAGGTGATCCAAAAGACGTTTCTCAGTGGAACTGACAGCTAGAAATCTAGAGTATGTGAGTATTCTGGTGTTAATGGTGCTTGTTCGATGAACAACTTGCGAGTGTTATGTCTGTTTGTCTGTGCTAATTGATTATGTCATTGAGAATAATGTAACATGTTCGATGTGCAACTTGACTAGTAAAACCGTCCTATGTGGTTTTTTCTATATTGTAGCATTAAATTCAAAGCAAAATTGTGATTTTACCGTTTCTACTGAATTTTCAACGTTATTATTCACTGACTACGTAAAAAATAGTATGGCAAAATATATTATTAATAATTGTTAAATTAATAATCTGTCGAACACCTGGACCCTACCTACATCAACTCATGAACCGGGGACCATCGGCTTTACTTCCCTTCTGAAGGAAGACGTGATCAGAGATGTTATGCCTCAGAACATCCCGGCGGCGCCAACTGGGATTTAACCCAGGCCTGCTATGGTGAGAGGTAATTACGCTTACCACTACACCACCGGCGCCGCTAAATTTAAGTATAGTTTACTCATAAATTGCTAACAGTGCAGGAACTCACCGAAAGTTTTCCACAGAAATACATGAGGCAAATTTACTCATCGCTGAGTTCCTGCACTTTTTACGTTTATGGGTAAACTGAACTCAAATTTGAGTTGATCTCATTGGCCGTATCGTACCAAACACATAATTGACATGTTAACTCTAAAGTCATGGATTTATTTGGTGTTTTCTGCTTGATAGGCCAAAATGGGCAATTAGGCTGAAGTAGTGCTCTACCCTAGTAGTGCGTAGTATAGGTATTCGTGTTTGTTGAGGTACGTAATTTGTCATTTGGGCTGGTTGCAGGTAATGTCTAAAAAGCCAGGAACATCAATTTCCTTGGTTCCATATCTAAACTCTCAGCTACGCGAAGTTTCCAAGGGTTTGTACCTAATATGTCGTACAATTGTTATGTCCTCCTTTTTCAGTTGATGTGTGCCAGTAAATACATGTTCAGCCACTTTGGATTTGAAGTGGTAATGAATACCTTTTTCCGTATCCTTAGTAGCTCTTCTCACTTTTTCGAAATGCTCTTTAAATCTTGTGTCTAAGTTCTTTTGACAATACGATTATTGTCAATACAAACTGTCGTGTAGGGTTCACTAAAGAGATTTAAGGTTCGGATGTCAATGGAGTATTTTCATATAAGCTGGTTCAGTACTGCCAACTAGCTCAACCAGCACAACAAACTAGCACGAACTTAAGTGGCTTTTGAAATGTCATGCTGGTTGATGCCGACGCCCTGTCGAAAGGGTTTTAGACCGAGAAAAGAAAGGACAACTATGCGCGAAGGTGGCCACAGGTCGTCCGAGGTCAGCTCGGGTTCCGAGGGTTATCGCTGCTATTAAAAGGAAGATTCGGGTGAATCCAGTGCGTTAAACAAGGAAAATGGCAAAGGAACACGGGATCAGTGACTTTACTGCACGGAAGATCGTAAAGGAAGATTGCGGGGCGAAGTCGTGGGCACGAAAAAAAACTCACATGATTACCAACCGCATCTGGGAGCTTTGAGTCGAACAATCTTGAAATAGCTTAAGCAGAGCATGTTTACCGTCGATCACGTATCAAATTCCAGAACCGACCGGTATATTACTTCTCTTCCGGTAAAAAAAGTGGCCGACGAGCACAAGAACGTGTATCTGACCAAGCATCCTGCTAGCGTTATGGTGTTTGGATTGGTGGCTTCCGATGGCAAAAAAAATGGACCCGGTGTTCATTCCAGAAGGCGACAAGGTCAACACGGAGGTCTACATCGGGATTTTAAGTAAGTATGTTCTTCCGTGGATCAAAGAAAAGTACGGTCCGAAGCCAAATGTTGTATTTCAACAAGATGGGGCTCCGTGCCACACCTCGAACCTCACTCAGAAGTGGTTGCAGGAACATCTTACTGGATTACTCAATATGGCGCGTCATGAAGGCCAAGGCCTGTTCTAAACGCCACCCGAGTACAGCAAGCCTCAGACACACATTGACCCGTACCTGGAGATAAATGGATCCAGACTACATTATTAGAACCTGCCGTGCATTCCGGAAGCGTGTGGAGGCCGTAATTGCAGCAAGTGGAAACTCGATCGATGATTAACATAGTTTAAGATGATTAACATAGAAAAACTCGAAAACGAAATTTTTGAGATTTTTTTTTTTAATTTTGACATTGCTCAATGGTGCAAACATTATCACGCATACGGTACATGTAAATAATAATAAAAAAATGATGCAGATCGTAAAATATATTATTATTATTATTTAACTTTATTAATGAGGCTTTCAGCCTTGGGCTGGTTCGCCTCCATCGTAAAATATACTGTTTCCGACTAATGTTGATCGTTCCGTAGCAAATCCGGTATCAACTAGCGCACTTGCAATGATAGTTATCAATACGTTCCTCAACATGGACGCCCTCTTCTCCACTAGTTGGATTTATGACAAAAGTTCAAAGGATGAATCTATAGGAATCAAATTGTGAGGATAGTCCTAAGTATTTTTGAGAAAATTCGAAAGGAATGCTTAGGATAAGATTAAGGGAATTTTAGGAGAAAACATAGGTTTTTTTTATCGAGCATTCCTAGACTTCTGAGCAGAACTTCAAGACAATTCTAAGTAATTCTAAAACGAAAATTTCACACTTTTTTGAATTCTTAAGAAAATGTTAAGGAATAATAGAAAAAAAATATTGAATAAAATTATATTAATGCAATGAATTCCGAAAATTGTTTCAATATTGTTATGCATGCTCTAAAATGAGCTAGAGTTTTCTTTCATACAACGTGTTCAACGCATTATTTCTATAACGTCTAGCTAGACTATCAGCTCGAAAAGAAAATGATAACGAAACACGATTGGAACAATAGGCTGACAGTGTATTTTATCGTCGTTGCTTTTGCTCATCGCTTTCAATGAAAGTTATGTCGACTTCCGAGTTGAAACGAAACCTCATTATGGTTTTCAATCCATTTAACCGAAACGGTCACTCACTCTGTCAATTTGTTTAATATGCGTGATGTCCCATTTTCGTAACTTTTTTTTAATAAACATCTGGATGGATGATAAATTAAACGTATTACGTTGTAGTCTTCATGTGTTTTCACGTTAGAAATGCTTTAAATGTGTACTTTAATTTTCCGTCATAAACGTCATGAAACCTCAGTTGATGTGTTTCATGAAAGACAAAACTATCAAAGTCGAGCGCTCTTTCACTCGTCCACTGCACCGAAGCTTGAAAGACAGTCAAATGAAGCGACGGGAGAAAGAGAGACGAGCGATTGCAAATTTGTTTGTAGACGCCGACTGAGGTTCTAGAATGCTGCGAAGCTGCTCGACTTCAACTTCGTCGCATTGTTTTATCGTTGGAAACTGATATTGTGACACCCTGCTCGCAGGTTTAGGAGAGAATATATTCAATGAACTTCTACGTTTTCATAAATATATAGAAAGAAAGGGGCTTACAGATAAAGATATAGAGCGATAGACATTTTCAAAACTCATCAGGCTCAGTTGCTTTGCTTCACTAATTCATCTACAACTGATTAAGTTCGATGAGTCTCATCGTCGCCCACTGGTCACCCACCATAGCCGGTCGAACTCCGGACGAAGCTAGAACAGCACTACCGTTCATACTGGCGACAACGCTCTGATGAGACAACGAAACCCTACCCCAAGCTCCTCCCCTGATCCTATCCTTCGAAAATGTACCCTTCTAACCTCGAGTAAGCCGCGAGTAATCGGCCCAACTCCTACTAGACATAGAATTAAGTGAATTTTGTTACATACAGTGAACAATGAATTATCGGCTCCGTAAAGCTAACGCAATTGAGCCTTCCAAATAAACGAACTAGATAAAAAAAAAAAAAACTGATTAAGTTTCTCTCTAAGCATCATATAGTCGAAAGAAAAATGTTTATTTCTTGGATCTTATGATGCCACAAATAGTATCTAGGGGAAATGGATGTCATGTCGGCCTAAATGCCCCTAATTTGGGTCCATACATAAACTCAGAAATGGACTAAATCAAGAGCCACATGTGAAAAGGGCATACAAGCTTTTTGTAAACAAACCTTTGTAGGCCCTCTTCTCGCCAACCGAGGGTCGCCCACGCAAACTAACAACATCATCGGGAAGGGGAAACCTTCCCCTATCCGGCGATGTTGATGGTTTGCGTTGGTGTCATATGGGTCGCGAGAAAAGGGCATAAGAATGTTTGTTTACAAAAAGCTTGTATGCCCTTTTCACATGTTGTTCTTGAAATGTTCAATAGCGACCAAAAATATAAATTAGTACCGTCCCAATGACGTGTTCATCAAGATAAAATTGATGAATGGCAGATTTTTAGCGATGGGCCCATTCTCAGATCCATAGGCCAACATTAGAGCCATTTCCCCTATATCCTGGAAATCAATTTCATGTAAGTTCAAGTTTCAGTGTGTTCTAAAAAAAGACTACGAAAGTTTTTTTTTTTACAACAAACTGGAATTGTAGGATCAATTTTTGATCATTTTGATGTGTCGGGGCTTTTGAAGGACCGCTGGAACATACGTATCATCAAAAAGTGAACAACTTTCTGCTTGTCAACTTTTATAATTGCATTAGCATCTTATCAGTGCGAAACCGAACTTTTTGTCAGTGCGAACCTCACCCTGAGGTAGGTTTTAAAAACACACGATCAAACTGACGTTTGTCAGAAAACAAGCAGACCCGATCTTGATACTCGATCCAGGTTGGAATTGGATAATAAAAAAAATCGCTATATGTTTCATAATAATCAGTGCTTTGTCCCCATTGATATCTGAGTTCTAATTTACTCATATTCGTAAATAGCATATCGACCTAACTTTGAATCCTGTGGCTTCTGGTACAATAGGAATTATTTTCAAGTACTTTACTGCCGCTCTTCGCATGTCGGTCCCATAGCAGTTTTTGTCAAAACTGAGTTTTACAATGCAAATGGTAGCTGATCACTCATATTTTCTTAATACTGGATGAACTCAATAACTTTGTTCTGAAAAAGTTTGGAAAGACAGCCAAATTGGTTGTCTCATCACATAAGAAGCAATGGTACGAATGAAGCTAAAAATGCGATTTTCTCGGCTTGCTGATTTTTGCCATGGGACCGACATGCGAAGAAGGGCAGTTTAGTAATCATAGTTTTAGTTTGTAATGTAGGTCGTGTTTTGAAGCTTATCTGTACTTCATGCTTTCAATTCATATGATTGTTTACCTTAACTTTACTGTTTGGTGCGATAAAACCAGCAGCAGGATTAGAGTAGAAGTTAAAAATCAAAATTGATACCAACTGACACATATTGCAACTGATTTCATGCAAATCGAGATAACTTTCGGAAATTTGAAGATATTTTTGAGTTTAATCAACTCAACCATAATGGGTGACCGATACCATCAAATTTACTAAGCTAACAATACTTGATAGGGCTGGAATTAGGGAGTAAAAGCTTTTGTAAACAATGGCTTCTCTCGATGATTTCTCGAAACTCAAAGCACGCCCACGCCAACCAACGTAACCAACGGGAAGGGGAAGTCTTCCCCTACCCGATGGTGATGTTGATTTGAGTGGGCGAGCCTTGGATTTCTAGAAATCATCGAGAGACGCCATTGTTTACAAAAGCTGTTACGCCCTAATTCCAGCTCTATCTAGAATAATATCAGATCTGTGGTGATTTTTTTTACCGTTGATGAGACAGTTTTGCCGGTAAACAGTTTTCTAAAATGTGAAAAAAAAATCAACGCAAAATTGTCTGTTCTAATCGAAACGATATGAAAACAAAATCAAAAGAAACAGCTTCAAAATATTCCGCGAAATTGCGAAATAATTCGATATATCGCATAACCTTACACCTTACTGGAAATTAGATGAATAACCCTAGTAGTTGCAAACTAATTTATGCAACACTCATGATACTCAAAATTAGACCAATTGTATATCTGCCCAGCTTACCTTTTTGTCGAGCCCGTATTCTAGCAGTTTAGTGTAGTCTTCTGTCCGTTCGCCATCGCCAGCTCCTTCCAGTTTCTGATTTGCCATTTCCTCGACCAATTCTCCATTTCCTTCAGCCATTTCTGTAATAGAACGTAAAGAGAGAAACAAAAAGAACTTTAATTAACATTTGAAACAAGACAGTTTGCACGCAATGTAAACAAATCCGGAATCACCACCCGATCGCCCTTTCGCGGCGAGATACCGGTAATACATTTCAAACGCATTGTTACGCATATGGGCAGCAGCAGCCACAAAAAAAGAGAGGGAGATGTCACGCATCATTTTCGTGGGTCCGCGCCGTTTGTGCAAGGTCAGGATTCCCAACCAAAGCCATAATAGTCCCCGTTCTCATCACCGGTGGTGATGTGATGGTCATCAATGGTGGACACAACGAGAGCCCGTGGGATGCGTGCCGACGACTCTGCTGCTGGCATGAGAGCAGGGCAAAGAAGCAGCGAGCAAACTCTCCCCGCTCGCTCTCACGCATCATCGTCGTCGTCGTCGCCGTCACGTCGAGAGAGAGAGAGGGTGGTACACAAAGAGTCACTGTAGCCGTCGCTGTTTCATCCAACTAACCCTCATGCAGATCTATATAGATTATTACATAATAGCGATGAACAACACAAATTTATAGACACACCGTGGAAGGGGTAGGCCAATTCCCAATGCGTTGCCATCTAACGCTTCCGGTCAAAATAGAACTGGACTAATAAAAATAACTAATCATGCATGGGAACGGGACGCAGCAGTGCAAAGTGCGTGCGGTGCGTTGTGTTCGTTCGGGAACCGCAGACGGATGACGACACGATGATATGCGATTGTGTGTTGCGGCGGGTTCGGTTTTGTGCGAATCTAGCTCAAGGTCGCCGCGAGCGCGTTTGCAAACGCATACACGCATTTTGCGTGTCCGCCTGAAAACAGAGAAGAAAAAAATCGCACATTCACACACAGCTGCAGCAAATGTATACACTTTTAAAACATTAGCCGATGAGTGCGTATGGATTAGATGCGAAACCAACCGAACCAAAGTAGAAAAAAAAAAACGCTACACACCAATTTTTTTTCGCATCGTTTTCGCAAACAACGTGCGAAAATTTAAAAAGACAACGCGGGAATTGCGAGTATGCGTTTTTTTTGTGCGTAAACAGTACACAATGCGAAAGGGTTAGACGCCGCCACGGAGGAAAATGAGAGTTTTTGGCAAAAGCGTCAAACAAAGGAAGTGTGCGTTTCGCACTTTGCAGAAGCCAAAAAAAAAAAACTATGACCCGGCAAGCTGGGTATTGAATCACCGACTTTACGGGCGAAGGCAAGCGAGTGAGCGCGCGGCGGCGGTGGCGGCGGCAATCTGCAAGAAGACGAAGAAATGCAAAAGATACGCACAATCGGCCTGCTTGGTTGACTTGAGGGGGTTGCACGTTTCGCGTCTTCTTTTGTGCTTCGCGAAATAAATCGCGGAACCTGCTGCGACCCTCTCCCGCTCTCTCTCTCTCGTTCCCGCTCCCAAGTGCGTACACGAGGTGCGTTAACGCAGCGGCGCGACCTCGAAATTCGCGCAGAAAGTAGGTCAAACTGCGTGTATTGGTCGGTCGATTGAGGATTTGAGTAGGAAAGGCGCATAGACAAGCAAAAATGTGCGTTTTTTTGGCTTTATTTTCGGGGGGGAACCGGAGTGTGCGTGCGTTTGCTATTTTTTTGGCAGTCATTAGATTTCGCACGATGACGACGGGTTGGGCCCGTTGAAAGTGAAAACAGTCCCCACAGTCTTGGAAGTTTCGGTGGCCCGAGTGGGTCACCATCGGTGCGAGATGCGTTTGCGAAGCGCTGGCAAGTGGTTCAAGTTCAGCGTGAGAGCGACAGTTTTGAGTGTAACGGTCGATGCGTGTGTGTGTGTGACAAATTTGACCTACTTTCGGAGCTGGGTTATCTTTGCGAAAAGTGCGCTTGCTACAATGCGCGGGCAAAGAAAATCAAGACATTCGATGTGATAAGTTGTGCTGTATTTTGCTTTTGAAACTGGACTCCTGAAAAGTGCGGAATCGCTAATCTGCGACGAAGACACCGAAATGACTATCCACGGATGATCGCACTTATAATGTGCGCCATGTGCAATAAATGGTGGAGGATAAATCCGTTTGGCAAATTTAACATTTGCTTTTGGACCAGCTATGAACCTGACGCCGGCTCTGGTACGTGTTCTAATGTGAGTTCTTTGATGGTCGCCATTTTCGGACTGAGGAAATGGTCCCACTTCCGAACTTTGGAGTCGGGCTGAAGCAATTGGGCCTGAAAGAAGTTCAAAAGGACTATCCGGGTAGCCTTGCAGGATATCTGTACACAGGAAAGTGTGAAATTTTGCCGCTTTTGGACTGTTTTGCAACATTTGTGACGTCATCGGGACTTGTTAGGCATCGTTCGGCTTGACCAACATCATTGCAAAGCAACTGGTTAAGTGTGAATTTGCGAAAAATGTGATCCAAAGGGAAATGTGAATTTTTCTCCGGTGCCTCTGGACACATGGTAGCATGAAATGTGACAAAAAGCCGCATACAGTGAGATTACGGTGATATAATCGGACGTATCAGAGACTGCGAATCCAAGATTCGAAGATACGGTACGGGTTCGTTCGTCGTCATTCTGTGGTTGTGTCTGTGAATTTGTAATACACATGTTTCCAAATTCAAGAACTCCCCCCGCTGCGATGATGACGACGGCAGCGGTGGGTTTCATGTGGGGGTAGACCCCCGAAAATGAAGAAAACGACCCATCTCTTTCGGTGTATAGGTGCGTGTGCGAGGAAGAATTTCGCGCACCTATACTGGCGTGGAATTCGCAACTTTTGCAAATTTTCTTCCGCCAATTTCGGTACGATTTGTTCCCATGTTTCGTGGACCCATACACTCACACCGCCGGGCTCCGGTTCCATCCACTAAATTGGATATTTTTTGCCACCGAGCTCACGTTGCTGGACCTTCATCGGGAGGCTTGGTAAAGGTGCATGCCGTCGTGTTTCCTCCCATTATACCGTTGTTTCATGTTTCGCGAATCGACTCCCGCACAAACACAGCCGCAGTAGACCAACACAACCGTAGCCCGTACACAGCCCCAAATTGGCATCAATCACCACCACCCTGCCGCCTCCTCCAATACATTCGCAACACAGAAGGCAACCAGGAAAAAAAAATCGTGCGCGGGGTCAACGACCTGAAAAGTGTAATGACCTTCATTAACTCGTTTTTCGTACACAAAATCTGCGATTATCCTCCGAAATCGTCCTCCAGGACTCAATCTGAACCCACCTCATAAATTCCCTTGCCCCTTTCGGTACCATCCTACCGCAAAATTCTTACCAACGACGTACTCGCCGATGCACAATCGAGTTCTCCCGGTAGATCCTCTCGTCTCACGCAAGTTCTTCAATTCTTCACAGGTGCATCAAGTGGACGAATCCTGCTGCAGCCAAGCCGATCGCGAACCAGGATCAAATCCAGAATCTGACACACGTTTCCTAGGCTAACTAACCAACTCGAACCGCTCTGCCTACTACTATTCTCTACACTAGCAACTGGTGGACTCCATCGTCTGTGCGTCCCGTGAAGTCAAGAGGAGCGTGTTTGAGCTCTAGTTTGAGTGTGGAAACCTCTGCCTGCTGCCTGTTGCCTGTTGCCTACTGCTGCTGCTGCTGCTGATGAACAACGCGTTTGCCTATGCTGTACACACTTACCTACCGATTGTGGGGTGTGCTGTGCTGTGCTGCCCTCAATCTAGGCGTGGAATGGCGGCAGGGAGGAAAAACGGGATACGTCACGCCGTACCAACACTACACCTACCTAAAAGAACATTGCAATGTTCGTGAAAATTAATTACGGTTTGATTTACCTCAGCTAGTACCGCGTCATTGATTTCACTTGCTTTCTTTTAGGAATTGGCAAATTCGGTGGATGCAATAACGGTGGACCAGCTCGTGGAAAAGAACCTTGTGAACTTCATCCCAATCGGAAGCCCCGGGAAAGGTCAGTCACAGGTAAATTTCAAAATCACCAAAATGAAAACAAACATTCACCGAGTAGAACTTACTTAACAATCCTACTAGCTCAGAGTAGCAACATCTGACCAAAATTTTATTTTTTTTTGCCTTGAAGCAATGTAAAAAGTAGTTATCATTAATTTTGAGTTAAATTGAAACAAACACAAAACCAGAATTGGTCAAATTTGATCTAAAATAAATCGAAAACTAACAACTTTAAAAGGCTTGCAAATACCGATCCGGATGGATCCAGATGAGTTCTCCCCACAAATCTGCTCATAACAACTTGAAAATTAATTTGTATATATGATTTGATCTCGCAAGATTTGACAAGTTTTTAGCAACAAAAAAGTTCAAAAATGCATAAAAATGTACTTTTTATCTAAATTTTTGAAAAAAATTAAGCTCTAAATTTTCGCATTTTTTATAAAGTTTCCAAAGTTTGCAAACATCATTTGACGTTTTTCAACCCCTGCCACTTTGTGTACTTTAGCAACATAGAAAACATGAAAAAGCAGGTTTTTCGAATTGTTGCCAGATTTTTGCTCAAGTTACTCCTCCGTGCATCGTTGCGTTGCTGGATTTTGTTGTGGAGCTGTTTCCTTTGAGCAAGGATGAAAAAGGAATTATATAAACTTAGGCCTAATTGTTGCCGAATTTCTTTCAATTGAATTGATGCGGCTTAATGCCAATGTTTGACATTTTTACAGAGCTCTAACAGTCGAATGATGTAAGCGCATCGGTGTGGGGGTGACGTAACTTGAATTGGGAAACACTCCAAATACAAACAAAAGAGATGCCAAGTTAAATCGATTGTCATCGTTCCGTGTTTACGAGGAAATCTGGTTTCCGGAAGTACGAATGGGAAAAGGTCGAGTTTTTCGGGGGTTTTTTTTCTGACAATTCGTGCATTATGTTGTTAATGGAAAATTATGGGAAAATGCGTATTCAGTGTGAGGTCAAAAAGACGCTAACTTGAAAGTTCCCCATAATGAGTGATTGAAAGTGGCTTAACTCATTACAGTCAAATCTATATATCAAGATATAGATTTG